TTGTTGAACAAGCTCGATAGCAAGGGAAGGACAGTTGCTCTCGACATCGTGTTGCTCTCGACAACGTCAGCGATGCCTTGCTGTTGGCACCGTTGGCAAAGGGCTCTGAGTTTGAGGACATGTGACTCACGGATGGACATGGGACTTATGCGCTGCCTACGCGGAGCTCGTGTGTGTGTGTGTGTGTGTCACACCCTGGTTCTAAGGGTTTTCCACGTTCTCACCTTTCCACTGTGACAGAGGCATGTTCCACTTTTTCCACCGATGCAGGGGGGCAAGGCCTCCAGCGACGAACCTTGTCCAACGAAGCTAAGTCGCTGGAGGGGAAGCGAATGGAGACGTCCATTCGTGTACCTGCAACTAACTCTTGCTCAAGCTGTACCAATCCTCTTTGTTTGATTCCATGGTGGTTCATGATACTTCCCACAAACCTACTCTTCCCCAGCAGCTGGGCCACCGATCGTCCGCTGATGTGCAACGTTGTTCAGCAGAGTGAGTGAAACAATGTTTAACACTTCAAATCACCGGACCCATTCGCCTTTCCGTTCCCTCGCCTTCCTTCCCATCGTGGCAATTGAGTCTAACTGAAAACCAAGTTCGAAGTGTGGACCGCTCAGTCTTCCCACTTGGGTACTGGGTGTGACCCTCCGAAAGGAGGCGCTGAACTCATACCGGAAATCACCGACTTTCCACTTTTATAACTGCCTTTCCGTTAGTTCAACTTTATCCCTGATTTTCGAGCCGCCGGGCTATAAGCGACGGATTTCCCACCAACGATTCTGAATTCCATCCGTGTTGTCAAGTCATGAGATCGATTTGTGCATTGTTACATCCTTATTCAATTTTTAATTTCAATTTTCACCCGCAGCCGTTTAGCAAACGATCAGCTTTCGCATGCTCCGCACCGCAGATCTCAGGGATTGCATTGCATGCCACGACTTCACCTTACTTTCCTTCACTGCACATGCACTCAGGCTCCAGACGCCCAAAAAGGGCACGACCTGCACGCGTGCAGGCGGTTTTTGAGAGGAAAAGATCCGTCTCTCCACTGCTTTGTCTGGGCGCCGATCACGGCTTGTTGTGTGTGTCACACCCTGGTTCTAAGGGTTTTCCACGTTCTCACCTTTCCACTGTAACAGAGGCATGTTCCACTTTTTCCACCGATGCAGGGGGG